TTTCTTTTTGTTCTCTAGCAATTTATTTTCCTTCCTACCCCATAATTTTTCCCTGCTTCTGTAACAGAACTGCAGTGTTTGCATAAAATGCAGTAAAGTTGAGGTTGCACATACAGTTTCACAGTGTTCTGGACATAGCATAGCCAGTCCAATGATCTAGGAGGGAAGAGGGATTTAACAGAAAATGCTTTGGATTTGGAGTCTGGAGATCTGAGTTCAAATTCAAATTCTTCAGCTTCCTTGTGTGATATTGAACAAATCACTTGTCACTCAGCGCCTCAGGCAACTCTCTAAGACTGGAAGTTGCAGATCTGAGTCTCTGAAAGGAGTTCCCTATACATGCAAAGGAGCACAGTAGATAGAGAGCCAGGCCTGGAGTCAGGAAGTTTCTTGTTGCTCAGTTGTTTCTGACATGTCCAGCTCTTCATGACCCCATTTGGGATTTTCTTGGCAAAGACACTGGAGTGGTTTGCCATTTCTTCTCCAGCTCATTTTATAGATGAGGAAATGAAGGTCAATAGGGTTAAGTGACTTGCCCAGGGTCGTACAGCTAGTGAGTCTCTAAGGTCATATTTGAGCTTAGGTCTTCCTAACTCTAAGCCTGGCATTGTGCCACCTCGCTGCTGAATTCAAGTCTGGCCTCTGACACTTACTAGCCTGTGACCTTGGGCTAATCACTTAACTTCTGCTTGCCAGTTTCCTCATCTGTAAAACAGAGATAATTATAGCACTTACCTCCCAGGGTGGTTGTGAGGATAAAATGAGATCATATCGGTAAAGTGGTTTAATTTTAAAGTGCTACGTAAATGCTAGTTGTTGGTTTTATTGTTGTCACCACCACCACCACCACCACTACTACTGATATTACTACTACTAGTACTACTGCTAACACTACTACTACTACTATTACTACTATTGTTGTTGCTGCTGCTGCTGCTACTATTGTTATTATATATCATTGGGGAATTAATTCCCTATGTATATAAAATCATAGGTCTGTACCAACCAAAAAAAAAAAAATCTGAACTCTACCCTGCTGCTATCCACTAGGCTTGAGGCTACCTTTAACCTCTTTCAACAATTCTCTATTTCTCCATCCTTAATATTCATGCTTCATCAGATTTTCCTCCCCCATTCCAGTACCAAGACCCTGGTCTATTCTGGCTCTGACTCTGATTACCCAGGAGGCTACAGCTTAGCTTGATTCCTGTGGTACCCTTTCTTTCTTTCTTCCTTTCTTCCTTCCTTCCTTCCTTCCTTCCTTCCTTCCTTCCTTCCTTCCTT